GTTTGGTTCCTAGAGGGATAGGAAAGGCCCACTTCCTTCGTGATTCTCTGGGAACCACACTCCCTGCCCATAACCCTTCTTTGGCCAGTGTTACACTGGAAGGAGGCGGAAAGAGCATCTCTCCAAAGCCCTGGATCCAAAGGACTGAAGATGAAGGCAGACATTGAGTCATGGAAGGAAAAATCCCTATCCATAGGATAGTTAGATAGATATCTTCTCTCCCTGCCAAACCCTTGCTGCCAAACCCCACTGAACATTAAGGGGAATCCATCAGTCCAGGGAACAGAGCAGAGCCTCCACCTACAACAGAGAAAGAAAGTCTCAGCTCGGGGTCAAATCCCAGGGCTCCGTTTTCCCAAGGAGGAGGGACACAGACTTGGGTGGGAGCGGGTTGGGCTCCTGCTGTTAGCCCCAGCTTCTGCCAACCTAGCAGTTTGAAAACAGGCAAACGTGGGTAGATCAATAGGTACCACTCTGGAAGGAAGGTAACGGCGCTCCATGCAGTCATGCCAGTGGCCACATGACCTTGGAGGTGTCTATGGACAACGCCGGCTCTTAGGCTTGGAAATGGAGATGAGCACCAACCCCCAGAGTCAGACAGGGCTGGGCTTAATGCCAGGGTAAAACCCTTACCATTACTATTATCTCCCTGCCAAACCCTTGCTCCCCAACTCCACTGAACTTTAAAGGTGATCAGTCATAGAATCCTAGAGTTGGAAGAGACCTCATGGGCCATCCAGTCCAACCTCCAGTCAAGAAGCAGGAATATTGCATTCAAAGCACCCCTGACAGAGCAGAGCCTCCATCTACAACAGAAAAAGAAGGTCTCAGCCATGGTCAAGTCCCAGGGCTCCCTTTTCCCAAGGAGGAGGGACACAGACTTGGGTGGGAGACACAACAAAAGCACCCACCACAAACAGGCTCTTCATTGCCCACGGCCTTTGAGACATCCCTCGCTGCAATGGCTGCTCTCCAAAGCCGCACTCTGCCAAGGCCGGGGAATCACAATTCAAGAGTTTGCTTAGAAGGGTGTCACTGATTTCCACATTTCAGCCTTGCACAGGGCTACTGCAAAGGGGTGGCCAATACAGTGGAGTAATAAGGAGATACACCCAGCCCGTCCCCAGTACTATTGACTGTAACTCAGTGAGGGACAGAATTTCATCCACCTTGTTAGAGTGATAAGTAAAACAAAATTAGATCCCGAAATACATTGGGCACGCTTGAGGTTTTGATGGCGCACTTGATATCCAACTTATACCTTATACCTTTGCTCCTCAGTCCATTGACCTGGTTGGAGATGGAAAATGGAAATACTGCTTGAAACACAGAAATAACTTTGAACACAAGCAGACCCAGAGGCACCACCACAAAATATGTGACAAAATGAAAATTATGCATAGTTCACGTTTGACTAGTCCACACACTGGGTTGTTGTAGGTTTTCCGGGCTATATGGCCATGTTCTAGA